GACTGAGCCACCCAGGCGCCCCTCAGCTAGTAAATTCTTGAGTTTTTAAGGCCTTATCTTATACACCTTCATCTCTAGCACCTAGCAGGAGAACTGAAACAAAGCAAATGCTAATAAATGTGGGTTGAGTAAATAGAGGAATCCATAAAGGCTCACTTCTAATCCCTACATGTAAGTCGAGCTACTTTCTTAAAATGTGATCTACTCTAGGAAAAATTAAAAAAATAAATGGTTTCCTTAAAAAAAAAGTAGGGACTTTTGTGACAGTTAAGAAAAATACATGAAGTGGCGCCTGGGTGGCTCAGCTGGTTGAGCGGCTGCCTTCGGCTCAGGTCGTGATCCTCGAGTCCCTGGATCGAGTCCCGCATCGGGCTCCCTGCTCGGCAGGGAGTCTGCTTCTCCCTCTGACCCTAACCCCTCTCATGTGCTCTCTCTCATTCTCTCTCTCTCAAATAAATAAATATTAAAAAAAAAAATTGAAAAAAAAATAATAAAAAAAGAAAAATACATGAAGAAAAGTCAATGACACAGAGAAAGATCACAAGAAAACTCTCAAATAAAACATGTTTAATGGAAAAATGGCTCCACACAAAAGAAACCACTGATACTACTTATGTAAGAACTGTGCCCCACCCAACTCCAAAAGAACACAAGGTGACTCAGTATTTAAGCACAAAAAGATTATTAAGAGTGAAAGAGAATGGTCTATTTGAGGGAAGGTGGGCGGGTACTTCCAGCTACCTCCACAGTACAAAGCAACAATCCAGCAATAATCTTGGCTTGTTTTTTTGGCAGCTGAAGGAAGAACTCTACTCCACTGCACAGGCACTTCCACTTTCTGATTTCAGAAGTTTAATTCTGAATCCATCACTATCTCCCCTTCCTCCCATGCCAAAACACTGTGAGTCTTAACAGTAGTATTTATATTTATGCTCAGTACAGGATCCCTGTGAATTGGGAGAGCTGCCCTGAGAACTCGGGCCCTAGCTGGATGGAGTACATCTACTCCTCATCCCTGAGCCTCAATTCATCACCTTCCATACAGCTCCCTCCTGAAGGAGACAGTCCAGGTGGGCTATGATGGTCCCACCACAGGATATGCCTGATTTCCTGCTCCTGCATGTTTATCCTACTGTCCACATAGAGTATAATGCCATGTCCTTCTATTCTTAAAGCCCATAAATGTGTCTATATGCATCCCCTCACCACTAACCACCTCCCATCCTCTGTTCTGACCACCATGGCACTGGGGCCATCACATTCTGCCTTATATCTACCTAAAAGATGGCACACACATGAAGGCAGGATGACCTCTTCTACTTCTGTATATAGTAGGTCCTCAGATCTTTAAGTGGAGAAAGAAAATTCATCTGGGCAGCATTGTGTCATGGAAACCAAAACAGATAATGACTTAACAAAACATAATAAAATGCAAAAGACCGTAAGAATCTGAAACTAGTGATATACTATATGTTAACTGAATTTAAATAAGATTAGAAAAAACATAAAAAAAGACCACAACAATACATTCAAAAATCATGCTATGATAAAATGAATCTAATATAAAACAAACCAATCTATACCCTAAATTTCTTAAACATACATAATTATGTGTCAATACTTTGAATCAAAGGAAAGAGTTTCTAATAACTCACAGAAAAATACACATGTAAGCTGTTTGTATCTTTGAAGCATGATTTCTATCTCATTTATTAGAATTTGTCTAGCCATTATGTTATCAATGTTTACAGTAACATTAGGATTAAGGTAAAAATATTTATCGTGCTGGTTTTCATTCATAAGCCCACACTTTTCATTAAATATTCCCTAAAACGTAAATGCCTTAAAATTTAAGTTGGAACAGTAATTTTTAAAAGTTGTAGCATTATTATACTCTATTGTACACTGAATAATATAACACTGTATATTAACCATACTGGAATTAAAATAAAAAGCTTAATAAAATTAAAAGCGTTGTAACAGTTTTAGCTAGAATTCCATAAGCAAGGACATATGTATGGTTTTCTATGTATTGTAACTACCCTTTTCATCTATTTTTAAAAGAAATTCAATGTCCATAATACTTTTAAATAGCACCACTGAGATATAATGCACACACCATACAGTTTGCTCATTTAAAATGTACAATTCAATGGTTTTTAGCATATTCACAATGTCTGTGATATTATTCTAAGTTAAATGTTGTGACCAATGTAGAGATCATGAAAACCTACAGAAAAGATGAAAGATTCACTAGGCCTAACAAGAACACTGCATTACTAGTCAGTTTTTCATAATTGGTTCTTCGCAGGATCGAAAGCTATATTATATAAATATATTTACTATAACATTAATTTATTTCTAATTCATATATTTATTTATAGTTCAGTCCTAGCTCTATAGTCTCGTCTTGAAATGTGAAGTGAGACTAATGCTAATCTAAAACAGAAGTATTATTAAAACCAGAGTATACAAGTTGATGAATGCATATATCCTAACTCTAAATCCACTTAGTTTTTAAACTAAAAGACATGATGCTTTATGACGAAGCATTTAGACTACGTAACTCAGCAATGCCACTTTTCGAATTACAGCAGCAGCAGCAGCGCTGGTATAACTAAAAAACCAAAGCAGCATCCACATCCCCTTCACATCCCTGAGCAGGTCTCTAAACATCTCAAAGCCCATAATCCCTCTAGGATATAAGTGTTAAAGTTGCAACCACAGTTTAAAATAACTAAACCATGGTTCCTGATCTAGCTACATGGACTATTTTGTTACAAGTCTACACCAAGTTTTATTAAAGTGTATGTCAATGATTAACACTAAGAATAAAAACAAATATTTGCCCTTCCTTCACATGAGACCGAAGTGTATTCTTTTCTCTTGTTCATTTGGTTCTCCACCTATACATATTCAATTTTGGCTAGAGATAAAATCTCCTGGACTTACAGAAGAACTATGGGAAGAACACTCTCCCTGAAGAAAAGCTTGTACATAAGAATACAGAACAGCCTAATAAGGAAGCTGACTGCTTTAAATCTTAATCATCAAAGTATGAGAGTAATAAAAGACCAACTGTCAAAACAGTTAAGAAGTGCTGTATATGACAGATTTGGGTCTCTACTTATTTGCAGCCATAGAATCAGCATTTACTGGCAGTTGTAAAGGCAGGAAAGGGGCAGACTTCACCATACCAACTTCTAATATTTCAAATAAATAAAAATAGCAGTGGAAAATTGTCCTTGTTCATTTCTATAAAAACTCAAGAATATTCCTTCACCCATGGTCTAATTTTACAGGTCCCAATTAACACAGACAGGATAGAGAGACATTGGTACAACAAAAGGCCAGTCCTCAATCCATCAACCCAAACCTGTCAGGCCTTTTCCCTATTTACGGGGAAAAAAGAGTGAAGAATGGATAATAATATGGTTTATATAAAAGCTACAGGACCAAGTTCTTACAGAACTATCACATGGTTAAGTAAGAACCATTTTTCATATCCTAGTAGCCTTAATTCAAAACGGTATTTTTTCTCAACGTCGTAATATTATCTTTTTTTCCATACCCAGTATAAATTGTTATTTACAGATAAAAACCGTCAGGAACATATCCACAAGTGGGGTTAGGAAGTGAGTACCACATTGGTTCATGTTTTCCTATGCTTCCACCCTGCGATGAATCATAGCTGTCAATGACACACCATGAAAACATGTACAAATCTACCTTATTCACAGCAAGATACCACCCCAAAGTTCAGAACTCCCAAAACCAAAGTCTGTACAGTAAAAGTCAAAGTACTAATACAGAAATCCTAACTCTTCCTATACAAGTCTGCTTCTACTGTTGCACGCACACTTCTGGACGGAGTAATTCACTGGTTTTCTTACGAAAGTAACAGAGGGGTATTTGCCATCACAAGGTAGTACCATTAGGTTCCTGTTGGCCTTGGGTACCCCCGCGTCCCAACCTCTGTTTGTTTGCCTCCTGTGTCCTACACCCCACGCCTGACTTCACAGGTGTCTTATGACTGGAAACTGCGATCACTCTCCAAGCCCTTTTCTCCTCTAAGAGAAAAGGACGCTTGGGAAACTCACCGGCTGGCCATTTTCATACCAAGTTTACAGCAAGCCTAATGGGAACATCATTTATCTTAAAATGGGCACTATTTCCTGAGGTCTGAAGCTGTGACAGCAACCCCTGGTTAAGAAAGAACTAGGGAGTGAGGAGAAAAAGAGGAGGAAACCAACTGCATTCATTTCCTCGCTGCAGAAACAAATTATGCAGACAGCTGCCTGGGGTAAAAATAAAATAATCGATATCATGACTCCTGCTGTCCGTGCAACTCTTCCAAAAAGTTCCGACAGCGTCCTCCCAAATTCGCATTGGAATCAGTTCACCCTATACGAATGTTGCCATCAGACCTTCCGGGGGACCCTCCTCGCTCAGTTGTGCCAGACACAACGCAGAGACGCCGCAGCCCGCGGAGGACGCAGCTCCAACTTCTCCCCCGACCGGCTGTCGGAGGGAAAGCCCGCCCGCTCCCGTTCCCCAGGAACACGAGCGAGCGCCGACGGTCGCCAGGCCTGGGCAGGGCCGGCGGCACCGGGCGGCTCGGCGCTGCGAGCAGAGCCCGCCGCCGCCGCCGCCGCCGCCGCCGCCTCCTCCCAGAGCACATTCCAGAGGCGCGAGTCACGGCCAGCGCACCCAGAGGAAAAGCCCCGCTCGGGCTGCGGGGCCGAAGCCCCAGCGCGCAGCGCGCCCCTCACCTGTGCGGCTCCGCGCGGGCCTGCGGCGGGGGCAGGGAAGGCGCCCTTCCCAGGGGGGCGTGGGGGAGTCCGCGGACCGGGACAGGGGGATGGGCGCGGCCCTAGCCGCGGGGACACCTGACAGGTGAGGGCGCGGGGAGCCCGGCGGCGCTCAGGACAGCCCGCACGGTGCCCGCGGAAACTGACGGCGGGGCGGACTACGGGCCCGGGCGGGGAGCCCGCACTCACCCAGGCCGGCAGGTCGCAGGCGCGCACCCCCAGGCGCACGGCGCGCTCCTCGTCCTCCAGCAGCGCCAGCGCGCGGCACAGGCGGGTCGCCTTGAGGCCGCGGCTCCTCCGGCACCACACGAGCAGCCCGAGCGCCAGCAGCACCCAGCTGAAGCTCAGGCCCAGGTAGCCGAGGGCGTACACCGGCAGCAGCAGCGCGAAACTGCGGGCCAGCTGCGCGAGCAGCCCCGCGACGTCCACGCTCAGCACTGCGCCCGGGGGCTCGGCAGGGGCAGCGTCGGCCCCGGGGCCACGGCCCTCCGCGCCGC